TCTTTCCCTGTCCATACAGCACAGTAAATGTCCATGGAAGGTGCTGTGGTCAGGCTGCTCCCCAGGTCCCAGGCTGCTCCCTAGGTCCCAGGCTGCTCCCTAGGTCCCAGGCTGCTATGAACCTGGGCCCCAGCCATATAGTCTGTCCCACCTTTATGAACCAGGGCCAGACTGCAGCTGGGCAGTCAGGGTTGGACAGGCAGATAGCCGCGTGACAGACCATTAGCGAAGTCCAGTTATGCTAATGGGTTTCCACACAAGAATGTCACGTGGCCAGCACTTACAGGTTTTCAAAGGATCATTTATAATGTTATTAAATACTCGGCATGCACCTTGTATCTCAAGGTGATGACAGAGTTGATGATTTTTAAGCACTGGAGGCTTATGAATAATAGCGTTTAGAAGGAAACATGAGATGAGCATTCCTAAATGTTATCAATGATGTTTTAGAAAGGAAAAGAAAATAGAAAACTGATAACTGGGAAGGAAAGAACAGGAAAAAAAAAAAAAACCCCAGGCAGCTGCTCAGTTTCGGTTAGACCAAATGAGCCACCCCTGCTCAAGAACTTTCTTTATTTTTGGGCAGTGCCATCATCAGCTCCACACCAGTGATTCCCAGTTCTGCACCCTCCTGTTTCTACTCCTTTTGTGGCCCACTGAAAAAGGAAATACTCGTTGTTGTTGTTGTTGTTTTTTCACTTAAAAATAACTCCAGTCTCTATTAAGGACTAACAGAATTAAAAATGAAGGTGTGGCTTACAAAGGGTGAGAATCAGTATATGACACCCTGTCCACATTGAAAGCCAGGAAGATGAAGTGAGCTGTTGATTAATGTAGCAAGTAATATTCTTCATCTTGTCCTTCGAAATGTATAAGGAGCTTAGAGTGAAAAGTCACCTAGTGTGAGAAGGCAGAGGACACATGGCAGCCACTTCTCCAAGTTACACTCCTGAGCCGAGTGTGAGATGCCCCTTGGGAAGATGGGAGATGACGTGGACAGAAGCCTACCTAGAGTGATCAAATGATGTCCACACGTTGAAGTGCTCACAGCAGCATTGGTGATATGATGGTCGTTCACACCCCTGTGTGAAGAAGGTAGTCGTGGTGTTTGCAGGTCATGTTTGGTTTGTAACAAGATCTTTCATGGGTCAGGGGCAGGGAAGGAGAGTCATCTCTACAAGGGTTCTAAGATGTAAATAGAAAATAATTTATTCCTGTGCTTAAATGGAGTCGTTGACTGAGAATTTAGCAGACTGTGTAGGTTGAACGATACCTGAATCGACACCTCTCTGTCTCTCCCTCCTCCATGTCACCTTTCTCAAACCAGTCATGGGTTTTGAGTGTTTGGCTGACACCAGATGGACTTACTAGCCACATGGGGGTATGTTTCCGCATTCGTCCTTTCTCCTCTCTCCCCTCGCCTCTGTCTACCTCTCCTATCCTCAGTTTTCCTCAACGTGTTTATCCCTTCTTCTTTGTGCAGTTGGCAGTTTTTCAGAGCACTTGGATCAAATAAACGGACGAAGCGAGTGTGTGGACAGTACAGATAATTCCTCAAAGCCACCCCATGAACCCGCCTCTCACATGGCTCGGCAGCGATTAGAAAGCACAGAGAAAAAGAAAATCTCGGGGAAAGTCACAAAGTCCCTTTCTGCCAGTGCTCTGTCCCTCATGATCCCAGGAGGTAGAGAGACATCTACTTGCATGAAATTGTGTGATCTGTGCATGCCCCCTCTTCCCTCTCCCCGATTTGGAATGCTGATTGAGATGCAAAATGGCTTGCAGCAGTAACTGGTATCCCAGTACAGCTCTCCAGAGCTTCTGCCTGCGGATTCCTGACTTCTCCCGGCGGGACCTCCGGGCTCCCAAGAAGCATGTGCAGTCTGCATCATCTCCCTTTCTGCATCGGGGATGAAAAAGGCTTCCTTCCCATGAAGGCTCATTTTTGTCTCGTGTTTTCTTTCCTTTTCTTTTCTCCCCACAAGTTAAATGCTGCATTTTTCAACCTTGAATCATTTTGCTTCTCTAGACTATGTATCATTTATATACTTTCCAGAGCTCTTTACAGCATCTGTGTTGCAAAGCTAAGTATACTTTTTCCTTTCTAACTAATGAAGAAGTAGATACAGAGAAAGTAAGCTCTTCATTTCTGATAGATGCAGAGTCTCCGGCTGCATTGAAACAAGTTTTCCCCCACTCTGTCGATTGAGCTACGGTCCCTCCTACTGGTAGTCAAGTCATTCTCTGCCCTTTTTTGGAAAACTGGGCTTAATTATGGTTTTGTAAAATTGCAGTATTTTCCCACAACGTGGTTTTGTTTCTCCTGATCACCAAGTCTGTAGTCAACCCACTGACAGAGATGAAGTCTACACCCTGGTGGTTGTGATGTCACTCAGCTGACAACGAGAAAATGGAAGTGGGAATTGAGTTGTACCACAGATGGTTTGCATTTGGGAGAATACAGACCACGTATAAAAGGGATTATTTCCATTTTTAAGATTTCATATATGTGCAGGAAGAAATTTGATATGAACAAATGGTCATTTGCGAGTGTTGCTCACCCTAGCAGATTCAGGTTCTGAGAAACTTCCCACTTAACATGGAAAACAATCACCTATCTCCCTAGTCTAAATGACTCTTTGTAACCTGAAGGTGATGGCCCAGGGCAAGTTTACGGCAGGGAAGGTAAGATTGATAGGGTCCAGTTCACTTTTGAAAGCTGGTGGAGAACCCACACCTTGACAGAGTAAGGAAATTATTCTATTTGGGGGCAGAAGGGAGACCACTGTGAGCTAAACAATTTGGTTGTCTGTGTGTCCCACCTGCCCACCTCCCATATGCGTGTTTTGGGTTCTCGACTCACCAGCATGCTTCTCTTCACCCAGCCTTTCGATTAGACAAAAGGTAGCCAGCCAAAGGGACCCAGGGTGCCACCTTAGTCAGAGTGTGGAGGAACACAGACAGGGATACATCCAGCTTTGCTCGTTTTCGGACAAGTGTAAGAATTGAAACAGCACGTAGTGTGGATACTGTCCACTTACTGTGGCCACTGTGAGATTCAGCACACCCTGGTGCATCTTCAGTAGCACCGGGCACTTAGCCTGGCTCCACCAAGCTCACGTTTAAACTTCAGCATCTTTTCTAGGTCACTGCCTTTTTCTCTCTCATGCACATGCAGAAAGTTTTGCGTGGCCAATTAAGATCTGTTTAGGTTTACATGGGTGGAACAGTGATACAAACTATAAATGAAAAGCATGTTTGTGTTTTACTTCTTCTCTGGCACTGTAACAAAACTCCTTAGACTGGGTCATTTTAAGTGATAGAATTTATTGTCCACTGCTCTGGAGACTGGGAGGTCCAGGATCAAGATGGCAGCAGATTTAGTGTCTGGTATGGGCTCATTTCTCATAGATGGCACCTTCTACATGGTGGAAGGGGCAAACAGTCTCCCTCAGGCCTCTCTTACAAGGCGACTAATTGTATTCATGACCGACAGAGCCCTCATGTCCTGGTCACCTCTCAAAAGCCCGATCTCTTCATACCAATACATTGGGGTTAGGTCTCAACATAGGAATTTGGTGTGAGTAGGTACAAGCCATCAGATCATAGTAGTCTGCTCAGAAAACAGAAAACAGAGTAGAAATGGGTGTCTTGGAATATGAACTGAGTTTCTCTTAAAATTTCTATGTATTACCTACATTATCCTCTTAGAAACCTTCTCTTAGACATGCAGGTAATAGCTGAAAAGGGCCAGTTGTAACCATGGTAATGAGTCCTCCTTTGATAGAGAAGCCACCACTGCAGTGTCTTACTGATTAAAATTCTTTAATCTGTACTATTATAATAGCATATAATAACAACAGCCGGTACATTAATAAATTTTTTTCCTGCCCATGTTCCAAAAGGGCCATGTTAGTGTTATTTGGCACAAGATTCGTTGTCCCAGTGTCTTTTACCATGGTATATGCAGTATTCCTTGAGAAGGACATATGTGAAATATATCTTTTTATTCTTCCATTAAATGAAATATATTAAAGAAGACTGTCACAGCCAGAAAGTAGCTAACCTTTGTGTGTCTCTTAATTAGTGTAGAGAACTGGGAAATTATAACTTTAGAGTATTAATTGGAAAATTAGTTAAGGCAAACTGTAGAGTATTGTTGGAAGATTAGTTAAAACAGAAACACTTTGAAGGTTTCCTGGGCAGATTCTGTTTTGAAGTCCATGCTAGTTACTGTTAGAAATCTTTTTCTATTTTTTTCTTCCATCGTTTGCCTTTGGAAATGGATGGATTTGTTTTGTGACTGTGCTGCCCATCCCGGCAGGGCTCACGTGGTGAGAGCAGGCCAGCAGACACACGTGCGACCAGGATCCGTGTTGATGGATGCCTTCTCTGTTGCAGATATGTTTGCTGTCTCTCCACTGGGAAGTCCAATGTCTCCCCATTCTCTGTCCTCTGACCCTTCTTCTTCACGAGATTCCTCTCCAAGCCGAGATTCTTCGGGTGCTTCTGCCAGTCCACATCAGCCCATTGTGATCCACAGCTTGGGGAAGAACTACGGCTTCACTATCCGAGCCATCCGGGTGTACGTGGGAGACAGTGACATCTACACAGTGCACCATATCGTCTGGGTAAGACCAACAGCCTCTCGGACACGTTAGTTTTCATTTCTAGCCAAATGGGAATGGAGAAGTTGGCACAAGCATAATTCATATATTTTTTGTTAAGGTGGCTTTTCAAATCTGATGCAGTTTCCTTTTATTGCTCTTTTCCTTCACATGTATGTTGGAATTGAATTTGGCAAAAACTAATCATTTCTCATAGATCTGTCTGGTTTTCATATGTCATTATTCACTCTTATATACCAGTTGGTAGATATTCAGAGATAGTACTATTTCCATCCTTCTTTCTCTTTTTCCTTTTCCCCCGACCCCCAGCATTCTTTTTAAAAATATCTATTCTTGGGGCCAGCAGTTAGTGTAATGGCTATGTCGTTGAACTGCCATGTAGTTGACCATGATTCAAGTCCCAGACTTGGTGGCTTAAACTCACATGGGGTGTGTATGTGTGCATGCCCAAGATCCTGAGAGGAGAATGGAGGAGAAGGGATTGTGGTGTGGTCATCCCCCCTGGGGGGTGATTTCTCACTTTCTGTCTCTCTCTGTCTTTCTGGTGAGCGCACATGCCCTATAGCAAAAACCTCTCCAAAAAAAAAAAAAAATTACCTATTCTATTAACTTTTCTAAGGAATCACGTTTTAGAAAGATGACTAAAGAGCACTAATATCCATGCCTTTTTTATTTTCTATTAATATAAGAAGCTTAAGGATCATTACTTAAGGACTAATTAACTCAGAACATTTTGTCAGAAGGAATAGTAGGTGTAGGTTTTCTCTTTTTTTTACAAACATCCGCTCTCCTTTTGGAATTCAGAATGTAGAAGAAGGGAGTCCAGCGTGCCAAGCTGGACTGAAAGCTGGAGATCTGATCACACACATCAATGGAGAACCAGTGCATGGCCTTGTTCACACAGAAGTTATAGAACTGCTACTAAAGGTACGTTTTGTGTGTGTGTCATGACTATGCAAATGAGGCAGGTAGCCCAAGGAACTAATACGAAGGGAGTAGTTTCTCTATGAAACACCCATGTAATTAGTCTCATTACGGAGAAAATAGCCTGAGGTTTTATGTCAAGTCAAAGATACTATGAATTCTCTGGTTTTTTATCATGAAATAATGTTCCTCTATCTGCATGCGCATTCCCTAGTTCATTTTACTTCTCATCCTAAATCGTAAATAGTAAGAATTCTCTGTTTGTATGCCTCATGGGAATTTTCTTTACAAACATTTGGTAGATTTTATTCTAGTGCACTAAAAGACAAAGCAGTGTTAAACTGTGAGATCAAATCTGAAGGTGCAGCCTGACAGTTGGAGTTCCTTTGAAAAACAGAATTGTGAATGTACTAAAGATTATAAAAATAAATTCTAGTGGAAAAAGAGATTCTACCAATCATTAGGCTTCTTTTGCTTCCCATACACATGAACTTAAATGGGGCTCAATCTTGTTTAAAATGTAAGTGAAATAGTCTGTGGAGTAAGGAGATCCCAGGAAGCGTGGATATAAATGGCTCAGTGTACACATGGGTCCTCTCAGGTAGTTCTTCAGCTACTTGCTTTGCCCCCTGCTGACTATAAAGCTTTAACTCCAAATATCAATCTGGTTAAAACACATGAAAATGCATATGAGTTGGATTTTAAGCTTTTCAGAAGAAAAGAAGGCTAATTTATCTGTGAAGAGAAATGCAGTTCCTTCTCGTAGGATTATTTTATACATGAAACATTTTGTGACCAATCTCTTGCTTCTTAAGCATTATGCTTCAGACTATGTAGGAGGCTACCAGCCAGAGAGATGTGAGTCATGGCTTTAAAAAACCCACAGCCTACACAGACATGATAAAGATAAAGCATGCACGTAAACAGGCATATCTGCGTCATTTACGTGATGCCCATTCAGAGAGTTTCTACAGCACTCGCTATGCGGTGGGTACCGTTGTAGACATTGGTAACATGGACATTGATGTATGGCCTTTGCCTCAAGAAATATGGGAGATGTTTGTCAGTAAATAGACAGTTTAATGAGTCGGGACTGGGGAATGTCATATTTTCGGAGAGAACAGTCTATGAGTAGGGAGAAGCATCATAGAGAAATGACCCTGAACTGAAACTTAAAAGAAAATGAGGAATGTAGCAGCCACTGCAGGAAAGTGGGTGAGTGAAACGTTCAAATGCAAGTGCCATTCTGAGCTGACCGCAATAGCTCACTCAGGTAGATGCTACCACTGAGCAGGCTGAGGCCATGTGGGAGGCCTGAGTTTGATTCCTGGCTCACCTTCAAAGCCAGGTACAATGGATTGCACCTGTAGACCCAGCTCCTCAGGAGGTTGAGGTAGGAGGATCCTGACACAGAGAGACCTTGTATTCAAAATAAAACAAAACAATATAAAATAAAATGAACAAAAGAAAACCTAAACAAGGACAGTTAAGTGACTGCTTTCCTCCCTCCCCAACATTCCCCAGCCCACATAAGTATATTCTTCAAAAGATCAGGGTTCCAGCCTGAGTTCCAGGCGTAGTAAATAGCATGTGTATCCAGATGTCCAGTGCGCAATGCTGGTACGAGTTATTCCCAAGGATTAAGGTATAGCATTCGTGAGACTTTGGTGTTAGGTTCAGGCCCAGGAAGGCTGTGGCTCAGTAAGAGTGTAGATTGAGGTGAACCACAGGGCTGCCTGTGCTATATCCAAAGGTTACCATAGAGGAGCAAAGGACCACGTGGTTGTGTCCCAAGTCATGTCTTGCTGCACATGCCTGTGGTTTGGTAGCAAAGGCCTCTAGATGACCGGGTTTGGCCCACTCGCTGGCTGTATGTAGTAAGCAGAAACAAAGGCCACTTCCAGCACTGACACTTCTGCACCTGTGGGACACTCAGCATCTATCTCTGATAATATTTCCTGTTCAGTGGGTAGGAAACATCTATCTCAGAGTACGTGTCTAAGAAATGGAGGCCAAGCAAGATTGCTAACTTGGAGAACCCTCAGCTGTGAAAGTCACCCGAAATGACAGACTGACCAAGACACAAGGGAGGAGGAGAGAGAAAGATTCATAGAACTTCCTAGCTGCTTGTCCCACATACTTGATCTTATGGCCCAGGTACTCATCAGCAGCTCTCAGAGCCGCCCTCTGTGGATGAGGGCCCAGGAAAATACTTTTACTCCTTTGTCCCCTATATCCTATGTATAAGCCTTTCCAGTTGGCAGGAAATGCAAAGGTAAGGTAGATAAAGGTGCTTACTGTCTCTCAAATGCTTCATGAGCTTTTCTTTTTTAGTTCTTCTCCATTCTCCTCTTGGGATTTTGGGTGTACATGCACATGTGCCTGGTGTGAGTTTCTAGCCACTGGGTCTAGGACTTGAACTGTGGTAGGCCACAAAGTCCAGTGCCTTAACCACTATACCACCTGCTGGCCCATCGTAGGCTTTTCTAGGTGCTCACCTGGACTCCTTTGTGATCTTCATTATGCCAGAGAGTAAGTCAGTGTCCCAGAGGTGAGCTTCTCTTGGTTGTCATTCTTACTAAAACTTTTCCAAATCTTGCCAACATTGATTAAAATAAAGTTAAAAGGATTTTAAATGTTAATGTATCTTTTGTTTTTTACATTCTTTGTGACAGTATTGTGTTACTTGTTGACTAGCTCCTGTCACATGTTTCTTTATATTATATCATATACGTGCTTGTAAGATTGTGACAAGAAACAATCAGCTGAAATGTATGTATGTCTCACATCTGTGGTAGCCTCCTGCAGGGAAATATACATTCATTTGGCTGAGGCATAACCGATCATTGTTAGGATTTTTTTTATTAAATTATTTTTATGTTAAACCTCTCTTCCTGGACCAGCCAGTGGTATAGTGGTTAAGGTGGGACTGGGTCCCACATGGCCCATTGTGTGATTCAATCCTAGACTCGGCAACTTAGAAAACACTCAAGGACTTGTGTGTGTGCATGCCCCAAATTCCAAGAGGACGCAAAAATGGAAGAGAACGGATTGTGGTGTGACCATCCCCCATAGGGGCTGCTTTCTTCCTTTCCCCTTCTTTCTCTCTCTCTCCCTTTCTCTCTCTCTCTCTCTCTCTTTCTCTCTCTCACATACACACACTCTGCAGCAAATTAAAACAAACAAACAAAAACTTTCTTCCTGCTTCTATGAAATTTAAATTTATTTCCCCTAAAGGTTTCTGGCAAGGTCTCAATAGGATCAGATGAATCTCATTTATAACATTTTGTGCTCATCTGGTTATGAAGCACCTCCTACAACCTAAAGCCTTCATTCCTGGCCCCAGCCAGTGTGGGTCGCTAAAAACGTTTAACCATGATGTGGTAGAGAGCCGTCAGCACCCTTTGAAGTTGTGGTGTGCTCCGTCAGAAATCCAAGGAGAGGATCCTGCCTGTGGTTCATAAATGCAGCACTCCAGAGGAGAACCTAGAGTAATGAGAGAGGATACTAGGGATTTAAGCATCTGCCCAGTCAAGTGTGTAATCACGCAGCTTCCTTCCAAACTGAACCAGCAATTCTTGAACAGAGAGTAAAGTGGTATCAACACTGGCTTTTATTGGTTTAACATCAGGGTAGTAGCTGTATTCTAATAATCTTAGATGCTACTTACCTGATTTTTGTTGTTGTTGGTTTGTTTGTTTATTTTACTATAGGGCACATACTCTCACCAGAGAAAGAAAGACAAAGAGAGAGAGAGTGTGAGAATATGTGTGCATGCACCCTCCAGAGGAGACAGCCATACCACAATCCCCTCTCCTCCATTCTCCCTTCGGGATTTGGATTTTGGGCACTCACCCACATGCACCCAGTGTATTTTTCAAACTGTCAGATCCAAGACTCAAACCACCTCACTGGACATGTGAATCCACCTGCCTTAACCATCACTGCACAGTGGCCCCCACACAGGGTTTGATACTTACGAAGTATTTTACAAAATCTCATGACACCCCTAGAATAATATAGAGAAGTTATGACACAGAGCTATATGCAGAAGTCGACTTCAGAAAGTTCATAGAGAACAGAATTGAGTGTGAGTTTATTTTGAAATCATGCGTGATTTATTCTTAATATCCATTTCCCATTGACTTCATGAGGACCTCTCATTCATGTTTAGAAATGTGCATACAACATTTATCTTTGGAATTATGAACATGGGAAATAAATGCTTTCCATGCCTCATAGCTTCACATTTGGTCTCATTTCCCCTCACCACTTCAGAGTGAGCCTGTTCTGGAAAGGCCAGTTTCCGGGCACAGGGAAGCATCCCAAGTCGCTCAGGTTCTCAGAGCCATGTGTACAGAACTTTATGGTTACCCAGCTCGGCTTCCTCTTAACTACATGAATCCCTTACAGAGCTCCCTTCAGCCTTGCCATAAACCTGTCCCGCCACAAGGAGTGAGCTATCACCGTTCAGTTCTAAATGGCATCAGTGTTTCTTTTTGTTTCATTTTTAAAAATTCTTTTCAAAACATTTTTTTTTTTTTTGCTAGAGTGTGTGTGTGCTCAGCAGAGAGACAGAAGGAAAGGGAGAAAGACCCTCCTTGGGAAATGGCCATGTCACAATCTCTTCTACTTCATTTCTCCCTCTTTTCAGGATTTTGGGCATGCACGCATGCACGTGCCTGGCATGTTATTCAAGTCTGGAACTGGAACCGTAAGGTCAGCCATGTGGGATCTGGCTGTCTTAACCACCAGACTATGGAGCCAGCCCAGTATCAATATTCTAAGAGAAGTCAGTGGGTAGACTAAACTCTTTCTTCACACACTGTCGTTAAGGGTGGAGACCAACCTTGTCATATCCCTGCTCATGTGATAACTTGCCAGGCTTAACTTCTATAACTCAGGAAACTCTTTGTTTATTTCGTGCAGCATTAGTTTATATCCCCAGTGTGCAAAAGGAGCCTTAATTCAGCCCTTGCTTCACTTAATTTCCACAAACTCTCAGGAGTTTCTAGACACTGAAGTGGGGATGGTCAAACTGCATCATTACCATCTTCACGAACTCCAAGGGTAACCTAAGAACGATGGCTGGACCAGCTGTGGTGGTAAAGGAGGCTGGATCTCACATTGCCAGCAGCTTGGTTTGAGTCTCATACCTGGCAGCTTAAAAACCAGGGTGGGTACATGTGTATGCATGCCCAAAATCCTGAAAGGAGGAAGGAATGGAAAAGGGATTGTGGCTGACCACCCCCTCAGAGTGCTTTCTCACTTTCCTTCTCTGTCTCTCTGCCCCCGACAAGCACACACACCCTCTGGAGAATTACAGAAGGAGAAGACATTGGCTAGTGGAGCAGGAGGCTTCAGTTCCTGCCATATGCTATTGTGCTTTACAGGAATAAACGTGTGTAACCCTGGCAATTAACAGTGGAAGTAGGTGCTGTGAACATAAATGTACCCATTTTACAGATGGAAAAAGCAAAGTTGAGAGAGTGACAGTCTCCCCACTAGGGAGGAGCAGATTTGCACACGGGTAGTACAACTTCAGAGCCTGCACTTTCAGCCACAATGGCATACTGCTGTACCCGTGGAGTCTCAGGATGCCTGTCACTTACAGTCTTATGTTCCAGGGGGAACAGTGGCAGCACCAGATTACACTCTGTGTGAAACATAAGGACTTATAGCAGGGGACCAGCAGGTGGCGTGGTTTCTAAGGTGCTGGATACTCCCACATGGCCAACCACGGTTCGAGTCCCAGATCTGGTAGCTTGTTTTCTCCCTCCCCCACCGCTCTTTGTCTCTCTGTCTCTCTCTGGTCAAATTAAAATGAATGAATAAATTTTTTAAAAAAGAGGACTTACAGCAGAAGTTCTGAATAAGGAGAGATGATGTCTCACTCGGTGGTATCAAAGAATTAGACTCTGGAAGGTGGATGGAGATGCAGTACCTGGAAAGGGGATGTGAAATAGTCTAGGAAAAATGGAAAGGTGTATCAAGACAAGGGAAGGAGGGATCTGCAGATGGCATAATGTTTATGTCTCTGGACTCCCATGTAGTTGATTGTGGTTCGAGTCCCAGACCCAGTGCCTTAAAATTCACACTGGAAGTGTGTGTATGTGTGTCCAAAATCCCGAGAAGAGAATGGAGAAGGGATTGTGGTATGGCCATCCCCCCTTGGGGGTGATTTCTTGCTTTCTGTCTCTTTGTGTCTCTCTGTCTTTCTGGTGAGCTTACATGCCCCATAGCAAAAACAAAACAAAACTAAAACTAAACTCAAACTCTCTTAAAAAAATGAAAAACCCAACAACAAAAGACAAGGGCAGGAACTCTCAAGATACATAACGTGTATGAGAGGGCCAGTGGGCTGGAGGCTCTGGGTGGGTCTGCACAGAGGGGAGGAGTCAGAGTAAGGTGCAGGCAGGCAGGAAGGAGCCAGCTCCCATCTGTGCTTGCAGAGAAGGGAATATAAAAACAGTCCAGTGTGGCGCGTTACCCAAGGCCAGCTGATAAACTAACACAGAGCCAGACTGAGGGAAGAGATTGGACAGCCTGACTAGTGTATTCAGTTCAGCCAGCTTAAAATAATTTCCCTCCCACTGTGCACTAATCAGGGGAACAGTTTAAAGTAAAAGTGAATTAACTGAACACTTAAGTGTCGGTGGCCCATATTTTTGTTGTTGTGGTTTTTCAAAATAGTGTCACAGAACTTCTTTGAGAAGAGATAGTAGCTCATTCATCAAGACTAGGTCATTGCAGATGAGCCAACCTGGTACGCCACCCTGAGTTGTTCAGGTAGCACTAGCTGTACCAGATGGCTCCACCAGGTGGCAGGCTTCACAAATCTCGCCTGTTGTTCATTTCCAGTCATTTACCATTTGTAATCATTAATGTTTCCCACCTCGTGTGTGTACCCTACCACGATTGTGTTTATATTTCCTCACTGAGAACTCCTCTTTGGTAGAAAAACACGAATCAAGTGAATTGTCCTCTAACAGCAACAGGTGGAAACAAGAGAAAACGGGATTTGTTTCTCATAGGGGCATGGGGCATTGCAAGCTGTGGTCTTCACTAATTTCTGATGAAAAACGTACAGGATTATATTTACCTTACACATGTTATGATATGTTTCTATCTCTGTTTCTTCCTAAGACTCTACTTTGTGTCTTGAGTCAATCAGGTGTCTGGTTCTCCATCACTGCCTGTCGAGCACAGTCCTGCACCGTGCCAGGCACGGGTGACAGAGGGGCCAGGGTGTGTCCTACCCATGCATGGCGGGTGATGGTAGGAGCAGCAGCAGGGGTGAGCACAGGAGAGCCAGGCCCAGGCTTGAACGATGGGCTTCGTGATGTTGGAAAAGAAAAGTCTCAGGGTTTCTGAATCTGTTTTCTCATCTGTAAAACAAGGATAGCAGTCTGTCCCAAGTCACAAAGAATGAAGCAAACAACCTTCGTGACCTGGTTATGAAAATGAAGTAAGAGAAGATACATGGACAATGGCTTAAAAATTACACGCCAGGTGGTATTGCAAATAAAGCAATAATGCTGAATTGTATTAGAAATGATGATATCTTTTCTAATAGAGTTCAACATTGACTGAGTCCTGTTAGAAAAGAGTCTGACTGGATCCATGCTCAAGTGGAACATGTGATAGAGCAGCCCCTGGGCTCGGCATGGCTCTGCGTGTCTGTTCTGTGAATGAACATGGGAAAGGACGGAAAGGACTTCAAAGATCAGCTCCAAAAGCCTTCATCATCCCCTTCCTTTACCATAGGAAAAAAGAACATTTCAGCGTGGCCCCATGCAATTTAATAAGAAAAGCTCTCAGTCCAACAATACCTTCAGTAGTAGACCTTACATTCTCATAAGCTAAATTTATTTTTAAGCTTATTTCATTCTTAAGAGTGAGAGCCAGAGAGTAAGGGGGAAGGGATGGTAAGTACCTCAGCAGACCTCATTCTCACACACTTCCCCTGCCCCAGCCAGCCAGGATTGTGGATGTGTGCACCTGGAGTGGACAGCTCCACCAGGGAACCAAACTCAGATCTTCCTATGGGCCACTTAAGCAGCATATTAGCCCTGCACCACCAAGCTTGTCCTGAATTTGCCATTTAAAGAATAAATAGTCAATAGAATGCAGATCGAGCGCTACCAGCAGATAAAGGTTTGCTTTTGAAGTGTTGGCATTTGCATATGGAATGCATAATTTATTCTTTCAAAATGAAACCTTTTTTTCTTCTGAAAGTTCAAACCCCGTTTTCCTAAAATGTTTTCTATAAATATGACATTAATATGAGATTCTATGTTCTTAGATAGACAAATAACTCTAAAACCAGTAATTAAATAGCAAGACTTTTCAGTATTAGACTGAGACATGAACTTATCATTCCTTTTTTTTTTTTTTTTGGAGAGGTTTTTGCTGTAGGGCGCATGCACTCACCAGAAAAACAGAGAGAGAGAAAGCGAGAAATCACCCCTCCAGGGGGGATGGCCACACCATGATCCCTTCTCCTCCATTCTTCTCTCAAGATCTTGGGCATGCATTCACATGCATCCGGCTTGAGTTTCAAGTCACCAGGTCCAGGACTTGAACCTTGGTCGACTACGTGGGAGTCCAGCAACGTAGCCATTACACCAACTACTGGTTCCAGAACATATAATTTCCTAATGAAATACAAATAACTCAGGTAAAAAAGCGACAGTATTAACTCTTATAAGAATTGGAACTAGGGGCCAGCCCTGTGGGAAAGTGGTTAAGCACTGTGCATAGGGAGCCAGATCCCAAATGGCTGAATGCAGTTCGAATCCCATTGCAGATGGCTTGAAAAACATGCCAGGTCCATGTGTGTACATGCCCAGAGTGCTGATAGGATGGAGAAATAGAAGAGAAAGGACAGTGACATCACCCTACCCCATTGGGGATGCTTTCTCTCTCTGAGTTCATGTGCCCTCTGGCTATTGATGGAAAAAAAAAAAAGAATTGAAAACTAGAAAATAATAGTGAGGAAGTAGTTAAATAAAATTTGATTAAACCATCTGATGGTACATATTTAAGATTTATTTATTTCCATTTATTATTATTATTATTATTATTTGAGCAGAGAGAAAGGGAAAGTGAGAAAGGAAGCCATGAGGTCCAGGACTTGAACTATGGTTGGCCATGTGGGAATCTAGCGCCCTTAGCCACCATGCCACCTGCCGGCCCCTCTGATGGAATATATCATGCAGCCAATGAAAATCACGTTCTTGGGACTGGCAGGTGGTGGAGTGGTTACAGGTGCTAGATCCCGACGTGGCTGACTGTGCTTCGAGTCCCAGACCTGACGGCTTGCTTTCTCCCTTTCCCTTTCTCTATCTGGTCAAATTAAAAAATAATAATAGGGAATGGAATTAAATAAATAAATAATTCTTTTTTTAAAAAACCATATTCTTAAAGAATAATTAATAATGAAGGTAAAGTTTCTCAAAATTATGTAATATGAGATGACAAACCAACAGAAAGCTATAAGTATAGTTAGATTGAAATTGCTTATGAAATATTATCAATATACATGCACATTTATAAATGCTGAAAAAAGACCAGCAGGAAAGACGTTAAAATATTACCAGCAGTAGCTGGGTGACAGGCTTCTGGGTAATTTTTAATTTTTCTGTTTTACTTTACTATTCTTACAATGGTGTGGATTACTTCCCAAATCAATGAGGAGAAAAATAGTTGTTATCATTTGAACAGCCATTCAGGCAAGCAGGTGGCGTAGTGGTTCAGGTCCTGGACTCCCATGTGATTGACCATGGTTCGAGTCCTGGACCTGATGGCTTGAAACTCACACTGGGCATGTGTGCACACATGCTCAAAATCCCAAGAGGAGAACAGAGGAGAAGGGACTGTGTGTAGCCATCTTCCCTGGAAGGTGGGTTCTTGCTTTCTGTCTCTCAGACACATAGGCCATATAGCAAAAATATCTAAAAAAAAAAAC